CAATTCTGAATGTATAACATAATTGCGAGTTTATATCTCCCATTGCGAGTTATAAAGTCAAATTCTAAGGGAAAAAAAATCTGGCTACTTATTTTTTAACCTCAGAATAGTTCAATATCTCACAATTCTGACTTTATAACACGCAATTGTGACTTTATCTCACAATTTGCGTATTATAAAGTCAGAATTTCAAGTAGCCTCACAATTGCTAGTTTATATCTTATAATTCTGACATAATAACACGCAATTGCGACTTTATATCACACAAATCTGACTTGATAACACACATTTGCGACTTTATATCACGAAAGTCTGACTTAATAACCTGCAATTGCAACTTTATATAAATTCTGAGATAAAAAGTTTGACTAGTAGTGAGATAAAAAGTTGCAATTACCTTTTTTATTTCTCACTCTGTGGCGAAAACAAGCTTCCAGACATGTCTCACTGAACAGCAAATTAAGAGGAACCTTATGTAGGCTTTTATTTTGTTTTGTTTTTTTCCCTACATCTGACAAGATTTATTTTCCTGATGCTGTTATTATTTTAGCATTTTCCTTTGAATGTTTACTGGTATTTTAAGATGTTTACAGTTGTACCTTTAAAATTACGGAGACAATTAGACTATTTTGACATTTTTTGCTTCCAATCAACAGCAAATATGAATAAAATAAAATTGCTTTATTTTAAAATGTTCTATATACATGCATTTTAAAAAAATACTTACGGTGCACATGCTATTAATCTATCAAATGTAGGTTTAAAATCATGTGATTTAAAATGTAAAGTAATGTAAAATTTTAATGAAATATGACTTCCTGCTTATCGTGACACGAAATGACGATTTTTACGTCACGTTTAGCAGGAAGTAAAACACTTAAATCCTTATTTCTCCCATCTCAGGGGAAAATAAGGGAATAAACCATGACCATTCAAAAATATGACTTGGTTTCTAAAGATACAAAGCTTAATGCAAATGGGTGAAGTGACCCTTTAACCCTGTAAGCCTTCTCGGCTGCTCCCAAGTGTCTGTAATTTACATACCATTAAACATTACAACTCTTTCCAACTTTGGATGTTTTCATAAATCAAATACTCAAATATTAACAGTCAGTGAACACTGAACATTTCACTATGTATCCAAAGAGTTTCTCATAATGTATATATTTTGAATTTCATAATCTAACAATCTTCTGAGAGGTTGTCTTATATATTTTCATCTTTTATATAGCATGAATGATATGACGATTGCCGTGTTAAGTTAACTCACATTTTGTTTCCTGGGAACTGTCTTCTTTTGTACATCAACACAACATCAAGGAATGGCACTAGATCTCCCTCTAGTGCACAGAAACATGAAGTGCATATATCGGTCCTCTGTGGAGATCTTCGGGCCTCTGGAGTCTGTGTCTGTAGATCAGCAGTGGAAAAAAAAAATGTTGTTGCTGGTGTTACAGCTTTGGTTTGACCTGGGATTTTTCATACCCAGCCATCATCCATTTTATTTTTGAGGACCGCATAACTTTGAAGTGTGACAAATTTCTTGCCCTCTTACAGAAATCACCTTGAGGTTCAAAAGCTTCCCACTCTTCTGCTGTTCACACACGAACAATGTCATCCACATTTAGGTTGCAAGGTTTGGTGTGATATTTCCTATCTGCATGACATTTAATTTTGTTACAGCTTGGGTGTTTTAGAGAAAGCTCTGCTTGCTCAGTGTGTATGGGCTTCGAGTATTAAACTTGCTTCCATGGTAAATTATCCACATGGACTGCTTGAATGTCTCCTTGAATCTCCAGCATCCTCATAAACTGCTTCTATGTTTGCTTGTGGCCATAGTGAGGTGATTTTCATGTGTACTATGAAACCTAAATAATATAAGTTTTGCTTCTTCTAAATGCTCATGATTTTGGACATCCGGCCTCATTTCAAAGTGAGCCTTAGTGTTATTTATCAGTAAATACATTTTTAAAAAAAATCATCCAGTTGCTTAGTTGGCCGGTGCTAGGCTAGCGCGAATCATTGGTATCTGTATTAGCATGCCATTAAAACAGTTTTAACCACTCCACAGTTCACCAAAAGCACATCAATTATAACGCCAGACTATCGATGTAAATGTCTGTTGAGGGAATAATGTTAGAAATCAAACTACCCTTTCATCGCATTGCAATAGTTATACTTCCCTCTATCTATTAGCATAGTCTACACTACAGCAGCGGCGGAGTGATATGTTACCTAGGTAACCGAGAGAGCCGGTCCACATGACAATCAATCACGCACGCAAGTGTAATTACCTGCCGCTGATACTCGTCATCACTACAGAAACAGAGTTTATTTCAATAATAAAACAACAAGACATATAATTATGGCCACGTTTGAAAGCAATGACAATGTTTCGGACTTTGAAGACGATGAAGATGAGGAATGTGTGTTATTCAACGAACCATACATGTATGAGCCGGAATACACAGATGAAGAACTAATCGAGATGGATGCTAAAAGGTCAGAAAGAGAAAAAAAATCTGTAGAGACAGCAGCCCCTGGAGATGCCATAGAGAACCGGGACAGAACATCGGGAGACTGGTGGTGTCAATGCAGAAAATGTATACAAATGCCGACGGAAGACGAGTGTTTTTGCTGCAGGGAGTGGGACTTAGTTACACTATAGTGTCACTCTCCACAATGCATTGAACTGTAACGTTATCTCCACTAACGTTGTCAGTGTCGATCTATCAGTTATGAAAGAGTAGCTTCATTAGCTGGAGGTTAGAGTAGACTAACAAAAGTTATTACCTGTTCATCTGTAGTGTTGGTGCATCGGGAAAGAGGGCTGGAACTGCATTCAAACTCACTGACTTGTTGTCGTTTCTATCACTTTGTACAAAGTCATCCGATCTAAAATGATCGCTACAAATTCGGGCCTTTAGTAGTGTCTCTGTCGGTGTATCCATACTTGACGTTCCGACTGTAACGTAGTGCGATTCTGTTGTGTTTACTTTCCGGCGCAGCTCTACTCCCGGAGCAAAGTAAAATTCCGCCACTGCTGAGAAACTAGTTCCTGTAAATGTAATGCGATCATTGAAATATATTTTGATATGTCAAACTACATTGAGAGTAGTTTGATTTCTAACATTATTCTATCAACAGACATTTACATCGATAGTCTGGTGTTATAATTGATGTGCTTAGCTTTTGGTGAACTGTGGAGTGGTTAAAACTGTTTTAATGGCATGCTAATACAGATACCAATGATTCGCGCTAGCCTAGCACCGGCCAACTAAGCAACTGGGACGACTGGATGATTTAAAAAAAAAAAAAAAAATGTCTTTACTGATAAATAACACTAAGGCTCACTTGGAAATGAGGCCCGATGTCCAAAATCCCGAACCACCCCTTAAATTGGCAAGGCTTAAAAAATATGCAAATGATAAAAGCAACTGAAATGGAGATTTTAATTCACACACACTTTGGGGAAGTATGTATATGGATGTAAATGGTTAAAGTATAGAGGAGTTTATACTGTAGATGTGTAAAGATTAGTACACTGTAAAAATGCTATGGGCAATTTAGTTTTTGAGTAGTTTTCAAGGTTTGATTTCTTCAATGGAATCTGCCTGAATACATGTAAAATCTCCTAAATTAGTTTAGTTTTTGACACAATTAATTAAATATTTTAATTTGAAGTTGACTCTCAAATGTGTGTTATTTAAAATGAATGGAAATTACCTGAGTTTGAATTTGAATGACTCATTGAAAGACAGCACAAATACACACACTTACCCTAGCATTAGCAAAACCATTACTGAACAAAGCTAGATATGTAATATTATTAGTACATGGAGTTATTCACAACTTAACTTATCATAAGCTCTCCTCTTCTGCACAATGATAACGCTTTGACATAACTGAAACTCTTTCAAATGTCAAACATAACAGAACATTACAGATGTTTCCTCAAAAACAAATAAAATAACTCTCAATTTCAATATTTACTCTCCATTTCAACCATATGCAAAGCATCCTGGAAACTAAACAAGTAGTCCAACAAACGTATGTGATGATACAGTGATGATGCGGAGACAGAGGGAAAACTAGACTTGTGCTGCCTAAATAAAAACTGACAAATTATAAAACCATACAGTAAACATACTAAAAGTAGAGAAAACGTAATTTGAAGTCACCATTATGGAGATCAGTGTTGGTTGGGCTCTTGACCCTTAATTCATTAACTTTAGGTTTAGCTTGGCTGCAGTACATGAGTTAAAACAGTCAGATGAACAAATAAAAAAGGTGATCTGATGGTAATGGTTTTGTTTTAACATTTTATGTAATTTAAGAAAACAGAAAAATACTGTATGAAAAATACAACCAATTTCTGTAAAAAAAAAAAAAAAATGTGAATGACTGGAATTTGTCTTTAATGTAACAATACCTAAAATATCAGCTGCATTTTTATCTTGCAGATATTATTTGTAATTTTACAGTGTTTTGAGCTTTCAATTTAAAATGAAAGAAAATGGTCGTCAAAAAAAATCAGTTATTTTCTGTGAAATTAGGATTTTTTTTAACAGTGCAACTCTGTAACGCGACTGGTGGAACGGCCCAGAAAGTAGTGGCTCTCCCAATGTTTCATATTTTTTAGAGGCAAAAGTGTAAAAAAAAAGAAAAAAAATGTTGATGTAAAGATGGACATGATAGTCTACAGCACAATCTATCGGCTCGCTCCAGAGAGTACGTCCTGGGCCGACTGTCATCAGAAGTATAAATCAGCGGTGCGAAAAAACGTCTCTTTTCTTTTGGGCGCTGTGGTAAGTAACTCCTGTATTTGTTAATCACAGTGTAAATATGCCTGAATTGAGCTTTGTGAAGCAAAACAATTAAGTGCGAGCGGACGAACTTGTTTTTACCAGTATTTAATTATTTTTACAGTGTGTTCAGTCAACCAGGAATCACAAATTAAACCCTGACAGGAGGATCAAAATATCAATGTAAATACTGACTGTATTAATGTGCTTATTAGATGAAGACTGTTTCCTAGATTAATGGATGCATGAAACACTGATTTGAGTCATAATTGTTTTATTATATTTACAGACTATCACAAGGGCAAAGAGTGCATTACACTGTACAAAACATCTGGACACACAAGACCATGTTGAAATACTGCAGAATTAATTTACATATTATAATTTCTTACTATCAATGTACATCAGTTCAATCCTCTGATGACTGTAGTGTGAGCAGATCTCCATGAGTGAAGAGAATGATGGAGTGTTTTGTACTTTTCATTAAAGTATCAAAAAATCATAAGTATCAAAAGTATCAACTACAGACGCAGGTCTCTCTTTGTTTTCTCCTCTCTTCTTCCTCTCTCAGTCTCCTCTCTTCTTCTTCTTCCTCTCTCTGTCTCCTCTCTTCTTCCTCTCTCTGTCTCCTCTCCTCTTCTTCCTCTCGTCTGAATCTCTGAGCATCTTCAAACATCTGATGACTGTAGTGTCCTCCTCTATTCTGCTCTATCATTGTGTCAATCTTCTTCAGTAGATCATTCACCTGATCTCTGTTATTCACATCTTTATTGTTGAAGACGTGAAATCTTCCTCCACACTGACCAACTAGATCTCTTAATCTACTGTTCTCCTTAATGAGTTTCTCTACAGACTCTCCATCTTCTAGCAGATCTCCATAAGTGAAGAGAATGATGGAGTATTTTAATACTTCCTGACCAAACAACATCTCAATCATCTGAGGAATCTGCTGCTCCTGTTCATTGAATCTGTTATTCACAGGAAACACAATGAGAACAGCGTGCGGTCCAGGACTGGATATATAAACACTTTTCGCTATCTCTTCAGCTAACTCTTCAGGCTTCATCTTTGTTTCAAATAATCCAGGAGTATCAACTACAGACACAGATCTGCCTGAAACAGTGGCGCGAGCAGCTGAACATTCACAGGTTACTGAATACATTCCCATCTCAGATCTGAACTCTCTCCGTCCCAGTATTGTGTTTCCAGCTGCACTCTTCCCAATACCAGTTTTACCCAGAAGAACAATCCGTCTGGATGAGGGACTGGAGACTGGAGCGTCTGGATCAATGTTAGCTGGTATTTTTCTCATCAGTGGATTCGCCTTCAGCGTCTCTTCTCCTGTAAAAAAATAAAATAAAAATAAAACAATTTAATATATTTTTTTACAGACAGCTAGACAGTTACTAGGGGTGGTATGGCTCACAAAACCGACGGTTCGGTTTGTATCACGGTTTTAGGGTCACAGTTTTCGGTTCTGTACGGTTCTTGTAATTTTTTTATTTTAATGTTTAACAGTCCAGGCAGAAATGTACTTCAGCATGTGATGCTTATTTATCCACACTTTAGGATACAGTATAAAAAAATTTATATTCATGCAATCATGCACAAACTGAATTAACAAACTGTAAGTTAATAATGCTCAATCATCAATTATTCACTTAATTATCTCATTAACTTTAACACTGCTTCAGTGTTCATTTAACACTCTGCTCAGAGTTTATATAATTCTCACTTCTCTGTGTTAATTTAACTTTTGATTTTGCTGTTCAGGACGGAGGAATACAACATTACAATCCGGTTCGGAAAACTAATGTAACTTCATGTCTACTTATCATTCACACAGAGGTATAAGAATATGAAATGAAGATTAATAGACATGATGCTTTACTTTAGAAATAGTGTGAGTTGTTGTATGTTAACAGTGTTGATCTGAGTTCAGCTTCAGTGTTTAGTTACACACAGATGCTGTTCACACTGAGCCAAACATGGACACCTGAACTTTCAGATTTAAGCTTTTGGAGAAGATGATTGTAAAGTCAGAATCTAGAGCACAAACACAACTGACACAACAAATTAAATATTTCATTTCATATTTGTTTACACTATTGAACTTTTGCAGAATTATAAAGATATTTCGACTTACTCTTTGTGGGATCGAGTTGATTTATTTGTTGTTTATTAAGAAGTTCAGATTTCTGTTCTTTTCTCTTCTCTTCTTCTCTTTTCTGTCTTTCATCTTGTTCCTGTTTTTCCCACTGCATTCGTTTTTTCTCATATTCAGTTTCAACGTTTTCTTTTTCTGTTTTTATTTTCTCCTTTTCTCGTCTGGTTTCCTCTATTTCATGTTTAAATGTCTCTCGTTCTCGCCTCATCTCGTCTCGTATCTCTCTCTGACGTTTCTCTTGTTCTCTTTTGAGTTCCTCTTCTCTTCTCTTTCTCTCTTCTTCATGATTCTGTCGTTCTTCCTCCATCATCATCTTTATTTTCTCTTTCTCTTCTTCATGTTTCTTCATCAGTTCTTCTCTTTCGCTGGTCATTTTCTCCATCAGGATCTTCATCTTGTTTTCTTCCTCTTCATGTTTAGATTGAAGATCTTCTTTCTCTCTCTCCATTCTCTCTCTCTCTTCTTTTAGTCTCTCATTAAATTCATCAACGACTCTCTGTTCTTTCTCTCTTCTTTTCTCATCTTCTTCTTCTCTCCTCTTCTTTTCCTCTAGTTTCTGTTTCTCCCATTCCTCTCGTTCTCTCTTCATCTCCTCGCGCATCTTCTCCTCACTCTCTTCTTTCTCTTTCATTTGTTTTTTATATTGTTCTTCCCTCTCATCTCTTCTCTTTCTCTCAGTTTCATGATTTTGTCTTTCATTCTCTATTCTATTCATCAGTTTGTCTATTTCCATCTGTAATTGGTCTTTTTCTGTTTTTATTTTCTCTTTTTCTCGTCTGGTTTCCTCTATTTCATGTTTAAATGTCTCTCGTTCTCTCTTCATCTCCTCACGCATCTTCTCCTCACTCTCTTCTTTCTCTTTCATCGGTGTTTTATATTGTTCTACTCTTGTATTAAACTCTTCTTCTCTTCTCTTTCTCTCTTTGTCATGATTCTGTCGTTCATTTTCTATTCTGTTCATCAGTCTGTCTATTTCGGTGTCATATCTGATCTGTAGATTTTCTTTTTCTTTCTTCACATTCTCTTTTTCTCGTCTCGTTTCCTCTATTTCATGTTTAAATGTCTCTCGTTCTCGCCTCATCTCGTCTCGTATCTCTCTCTGATGTTCCTCTTGTTCTCTTTTGAGTTCCTCTTCTCTTCTCTTTCTCTCTTCATCATGAATCTGTCGTTCTTCCTCCATCATCATCTTCATTCTCTCTTTCTCTCCTTCATATTTCTTCATCAGTTCTTCTTTCTCTTTCATTTCTCTTTTAAACTGATCTTCTCTCTCATTAAATTCTTCTTCTCTTTTCTTTCTATCAGTTTCATGATTCTGTCTTTCATTCTCTATTCTGTTCATCAGTTTGTGTATTTCTATCTGTAATTGGTCTTTTTCTGTTTTTATTTTCTCTTTTTCTTGTCTTATTTCCTCCATTTCATGTTTAAATGTCTCTCGTTCTCGCCTCATCTCGTCTCGTATCTCTCTCTGATGTTTTTCTTGTTCTCTTATTTCTCTTTTGAGTTCCTCTTCCCTTCTCTTTCTCTCTTCATCATGATTCTGTCGTTCTTCCTCCATCATCATCTTCATTCTCTCTTTCTCTTCTTCTAGTTTCTTCACCAGTTCTTCTGTTTCTCTGACTCTGTCCATCAGGATCTTCATCTGTTGTTCTTGTTTCTCTCTCTCCATCTCTCTGAACATCTTACAGGAGTAGAAACTCCCTCCGTTTGCGTTCACCATGTGGTCTATCTTCTCCAGTAGATCAGACACCTGTGTTCGGTCTCCAGGCTGATTATTGTTGAACACATGATATCTGTTTCCACACGCTTCGATCAGGTTCATCAGAGGAGATCCAGGTTTTCCCAAACACTGTTCAATGGTTTTGTCCTTCAGATAGTCTCCTCTGGTGAAGAGCACCATGGTGAACATTAAAGATTTCTCTCCAAACGTCTCTTGGATGATCTTCACTGATGTTGCTTCTTCTCGAGTGAATCGTTGTCCTAAATTGAGCACAATGATGAACACATGCGGTCCCGGCAGGATCATGGAGATGCAGTGTCTGATTTCTCTCTGGATCTCTTCATTAGTGAGTTCAGTATCAAACAGTCCTGGAGTGTCGATCACAGTAACGTATCGGCCGTTGATGTCAGATGTTTCTCTCTGACTCTCTTTAGTCACGGACTCTTGAGATGTTTCTGCTGTAAACGCTTTTCTTCCTAAGATTGTGTTTCCAGCTGCACTTTTCCCAACTCCAGTTTTTCCCAGCAGGACAATCCTCAGTTCATCTGGGTTTTCTCTTGAACCTGAAAATTAAAAACAGAAGTTTTTTATAATTTACAATGCTGAAAACCATATAACCTGATCATCTTTGTTTCTCGGTTCCTTTGCAACAAATTATGTATTTTGTTAAACACCATTACAAAGAGCACAAAATAACATAAAAAGCCCAGAGTCTGTGAACTAAATGAAAAACTGATCACTATAATGATGACCAAACATTTTCAATAACGTGTGAAGATGAATGCCAGAAATAAAGTCAAACTAGTTAGTAATAAGTGAAGCTGGTAATGCTGTTTGTGGAGTTGTTTAATCCTCCTCTGCTGAGATCTTCACAGATTTAATGTCTTCTTTATTTTCTCTTATGTTATCTAAGGCTGTGGCAGTTATAGTTATTTTGTTTCTCTTTCCTTTAGTGAATCTGCTTGTTAACAGCAAGAGTTCTAGCCTGGTTAAAACCAGACCATTCTCAGTTGTAACTGAGTTATGGTTTGGCAAAGCTTCATAGACAAACCATTTCCAGAGGGGCGTCACCAACGGACGTAGCTCAAATGTCTCTGAACTCATTGACAGCATAATTTTAGAGTTAAATTTAGCTTATGAATTATATCAGCACTGTTGTGTAGAGGATGCATTTTTCTAACATTTTCTTTTAAATCCAAATGATCAAATCACGTGATGATCAAAAACTTCTTAAAAATATTCCAGGTAGGCACATACAGACATCAAGAATTAGCGTATTAATCTCAGCAATGGTGACAAACAGATGACCTCTGAACATATGCTCATTATTTATTCATGCAGCAATGCATGATGGGAGCCATGAATGAGATTTGATTGGTGGCATCCAGAATACACTGCAAAATGCTTTATAATTGTCACCATTGTTGAGATAAAGAGGCTGATTCTTAAAGTGTCTGTTTAAAAAAACAGTTTTCTATGTGATAAAGTTTTAAGAAATTATTTGGATTACATTGTAAAATTTGCAACTATTAAGATTATATAGACCTAAAACCAATCTGAGCGCTGAAGGAGATGACGTATGCAGAACGACGTTCGTCTGTTTGAATAAACGAGCAGACAATCTGATTAGGTACTTGCTCTACGTTTATTTAAAATTAACAGCAGGACAACTATAAGTGAATGTGCTTTCCTTTATATAAATCACACACAGTAAACAAAACCTAAACAAAAAAAACTTTGCAATGAACTGTGCAATTTAGACACGCAAACTGTGTGCTGGTATGGTGAGACCTTACTGTCTATGGGTGAGACGTACATGCTCGGGCAGATTCGACTTGAAGTCGTTCATCCTCGGACATGGTGCCGTTACAAAAAAAGCTGTGCACATATAGCCAAGGGAAATGGAGTCTGTCCCACGCACCTTCGCGCTCGTGCGGACGCATCGAGCATAAACAAGGCTTTACTCCTTGTCAGAGCGCTCTTATCGGTAAAGGTGCACAGACCTCTCCCGAATCATCTCCAGCAGTAGCAGCAGTCTCTGAAGCACAACTAACTCGGCCTCCGCTTCCCTCGTAAGTTGATATTAGTATTTAAATATTCTCTACGGCTGTTTGTAGTAAATGCCGCTCTATCTGAAAGCAGGTGAAGGTGATTTACTGCTAATCAAGGAACCGGCTTTACTGATTAGATGCGCATAACAATATCGTGCGATATATCGCCCAGCCCTAAAGTTCATTATCACATGGGTTAATGAGCTGATGAGTCGAATCAGGTGTGTTTGATTAGGGAGACATGGAAAACGTGCAGTGTTGGTGGTCCTCCAGGACAGGTTTGGGAACCACTGCTCTATGATAAAAAATGTTTGCGAAAAAAATATTTTAATAACATGGTTTTAGCGGTTATAGAGTTCTAATGGCGGTGTTCAACTATAACCGTCACACCCCTTTGTGAATGTACAAAATATGCTTCACCGTCGCTGTGCTGTCGTCATCGTGTAAAGCCCGCCCCAACATTTCTGATTGGTGCCGAGATTTCGGCCGATTGGAAATGGTCTTGAATGAGCTCTTTGCCAGACTAACTTTCAGAGCACATCTAAATTTGACGGAAGTTGTCTGGGTTTTCCAAGGCTACAAGAGTTCATCATCAATGCTGAATCATCTCTTAATTAATCAATTAATTATCACATTAAATTTAACTTTGATTCAGAGTTCAGTAAACTGATTTTTTTTGCTGTGTAATCATCTACTTTTCCTGTGGAACACCGAAGCTTGACATTTGGATTTCACAATAAGAATGTTTGGATTTATTTACATTTTTGAATTTTTGAACTTTGGAATGTTGCGTTTTTTTTCTGTTAAAAATTCGAATTCATAGAACGATACTAAAGAATAAAACTGCAGTAGAATTTAAAGATAAAATATATATTTTGGGATAATTTTTCTAGCTCCACTGATTAAGATTTAAACTGATGTTCTGGTCATTACCTTGTAACTGAAAAGGCGTCTCCAGTGATTCATATTTCAGCGTTTTTTTCATCTGTGCCTCCAGAAATGTCTCTGTGGAGAAAAACTCTCCTCTGTTTTCTTCCAGCATCTGCTCAATGTTCTCCATCAATGTGGACACTCGTGTGGAGGGACCAAAGAAATGATGTCGTCCTCCAAACCTCTCAATAACAGACTGTGTTTCTTCATTGAGTTCCTCTGTCTGATGCTCTGAATCCTGCATTATGAGGATCATCATGTGTTTGTTGATTCTCAAGCTGAAGATCCTCTGGATCTCCTCCATTTCTGCTTTGTCTTCATTATTCAGTGAATCAGGAATAATGAGGAGGAAAACATGAACTCCAGGATGACAGAGAGACACACAGCGGAGAGTCTGACGCATCACTTCTTCCTCTGAGAGGCGAGTGTTGAACAGAGCTGGAAGCTCCAACACACTGATCACACGACCATGAAGATCCACGTCTTTCTTCTTTCTTATAAGTTTTGAAACCGAGTTCTTCAGTGTTTCGTCACTTCCACACAGCACCACGTTCATCTTCTGTTGTCTGGTGGCACGTACACCTCCTTAAACACAAGAACATGTGTTACTAGAACATATTTAGATATTGCTTATTTTAGATTTAATTTCTATCGAATCAAATGTAAACTGGAAATCTGTAACTAGTTCTTACATTTCCTGTTTATGCAATCATGTTTCAATTATTGATGACAATAAATTTGTTAGTTTAATATTTTAACAAAAATGTACTGAGATAAATGTACAATGTGACTTGATATCATTACCTAATAGGGTAAGATGCAGATCCCTATATGATGCCATTATTCTCAATACACAATGATGCATCTTAACTGAATCGTTTTATTTGTCCAGTGTCTATCTTTGACACAGATCAATTCACATGATCATTTGGGTGGAAAAGGCAAACGATTAGGCTTGATAGGGACAGTAATGACGGCTCACAGCAAAATTCCCAGTGTTAAATTAACCGTAATTTTAAGTCACCATTATTAGTTGGGCTCTTGACAATATAATCTTTAGAGTTTGTTTGGCTGCTGTACCTGAGTTATAACAGCCAGATGAACAAATAGAAAAGGTGATCTGATGGTGATGGTTGTCATATAGAGCCCAATTTCTGCGTTAGGTCTACTTTATTAAGTATAGTAGCGCTGTCCTTGAACAGAACAATATTTGTAACTTTTACAATGTAATCCAAATAATTTCTTACGTTTATTTTATACTCAAAGACACAAAGATCAAGAATCAGCCTGTGAATCTCAACAATGGTAACAATTATAAAGCATGTTGCAGTGCATTCTGGGTGCCACCAATCAAAACTCATTCATGGCTCCCATCATGCTTTGCTGCATGAATAAATTATGAGCTTATGTTCAGAGGTGATCTGTTTGTCACCATTGCTGAGATTCATACATTTATTATTGATGTCTGTGTGTGCCCACATATCTGCCGTGCAAAGGCAAAAGACTGTTACTTCGTTTTAGGTCGAAAATTAGTTATTGATATTTTTGGCACATTCAAGACTCCTTTATCATGGGGATAAGTATCTTGAGTCAATTCCGTTGTTTTTCCGAGAAAATAATTAGTTGTCTTAACCGTAACTTCCACAAGCCCATGAAAAACCAAGGCAGAACACCGTAACACCCGTCACCGCTCTTTGGCTAGTAATGCTCATAGTGAGTTACAGCACTCTGTCTTTGTTTAGCCGCGCATCAATATGAAGTTACTGTGCCGGCGTTCAATCAAATAATGCTACCAATCAGATTATACAGTGTTCTGCCTTTGTACTTTATACAGCTACCATCCATCCCTGTAACTTCTGATGTCCTCAGAGCTTTGTCCTGCACTAATGCGGTCAGAACATTTAGTATGCTCTCAACCCGCTCCATCGACAAACATACGATTTCGATCGCAAAGGATATATGCAGAGAGTTAACAGAAAAATGTTACACATGCCGTTGCAGGACAATACAAAGAACTAAAGCCCCGGTCGAGCTGACGCGGGACTAATATATCACAGGGTGTGATAATAATGAAGTAACAAGGGTATATTGGTGCATTCAACATAATGAAGCAAGAAGTGCTGGTGCATACAACATCAGAACAACATTCCAGAATAAAGTCGCAGGACGGGCGAAGTGCACACACAATAATAGGGCAGACAGCTGAAACCAACACACATTGAAAAGACGTAGAACACAGAAGGTTTGAACATGAATCTCGGTGAAAGTACGTGTCTTTCAGATCCACCGCTATAAACCAGTCTCCGGGTCGAATGTGCATGAGGATCTGTTTTATCGTTATCATTTTGAACGCATGTTTAGCAAGTCCCACTCAGTACCACTTGAAGATACTCTAGTCTTTACCGCTATGGGGGTATTTTGTCATGTATAATGTATTAATAGGGCCACCAGAATGCAACCAAAGCACAATAATTAGAAGGCTTTAGGTGATTGTAAATCAAACAAAATAAATGCCATGATCACTAGATTTTATACAGGTGTTACTATAATGATTTTGTTAATGGTGATCAGCAACCAAATACTGATAATGTGGAAGTTACAGGCTTTTGCCTTGGCATGACTTCTCACAGAGTAGAGTAACTTTAAAATAGTGGTCAAAAGTCAAGTTTGAGCACAACATTTTGTTATGTAGATAATTTGCATTACTTAAACATCTAATTGCCAGATTTTCTGTGTCCTTCCTATGATTAATTTGCCGGGGCAACTAAAAATCAGTTCCACACTCTAGCGACTTAAGGTCTTTTGTCTTTGTAGGGCAAATATAACATTTGTATGTTTTTATTTTTTATTTTATTTATTTTTTGTTATTGATTTGATCATTTGGATTTCATTGAAAAGGATACAAATGCTATGCTCTACAATGACCGACCTGCTATAATCCATAAGGTAAACTTAACTCAGAATTCATGCTCTCAATGAGCTCAGTGATTCATAGCAACTAACGATTATATTAAAACACCATCAGATCATCTTTTCTATGTGTTCATCTGGCTGTTATAACTGAGATACAGCAGCCAAACAAAATCTAAAGTTAATGATTTAAGGGTCAAGAGCCCAACTAAAGCAAACACTGATCCCCATAATGGTGACTTAAAAATCCGGTTTTCTGTATTGAATATATAATGAATACATAGTTCATTGATGTTATTTTTTTCAAAGTAGGATCATTTAAATACTAGTTAACTACCAACAAACATATTCTTTTCTAATTTGAGTTTCCTCACCATCTGTTCTGAGTGAAGCAAAAGTTCTGCTCAGATCTTCACCCTGTGTTTCTTCATCATCATGACACGGTTCACATGTAAGAAAATCTTCACTGTTTTCTCTGAGTATCTTCTCTAATTGTTGCAGTATTCCAGAAAACTGTGTCTGTATTTCATGATCAAGTTGAAGATGTCCTCCTCCGCACTCTTCAGTCAATTGTTGAATGACTTCATCAGCTTTCACAGATGCTCCTTTAGCTCTCAGTTTATCTTCATCAGTCGTGATCACTATAGTGCGTTTAATGGCCTCTTCACTGAATTTCTCCAGCACTCGTTTGACTCTTCTCATGTCCTCCTCAGTGAAGTCTTTATACTGCAGTACGAGTATGAAGGCATGAGGTCCTGGATCAGACAGAGACACACACTCTCTCACGGCCTGTGTGATCTGATGATCTGAGATGTGTGTGTGGAGCAGCTGAGGACTGTTGATGATGGTCACACGTCTGTCCTTCAGTCTTCCTCCGACTCTCTCCACAACATCTGGAGGAGCTTCACTGTCAAACGCTGCTCGTCCTAATATGAAGTTTCCCACTTCACTGTTTTCTGACACACTCTTCCCCAGCAGAACAATCCTCAGATCACTCACTGAAACACACACATGAATAACACGATATGAACTGAAACATTCTAATATGACAGATAACTCACCAAGATCTGAATTTCTGTGTTTTAAAGGAGCAAAACAGCCCAAATTTATTGTGTGTTGTTTATTATGTTCATCAATCTTCATCTATAGACTTACTGTTGGGTGGATCTTTGTCATTGCTCCGTCTTCTCCGTCGAGCAAAACCCAGAGAAACAGCTGCAGAAACAAAAGAGCTTATGTGTGACTCTTGAATACGACACAATAACTAATAACACAACTACAAAACACGTGAATTTTTTTTATTTTATTTTTTTTTTAAGTTTGCACTGTTATGTCAGTACACATGCAGTAAAATACTGGGCCAGGCATTATTAGACTCAAACCAGGTTAAACGCCGTAATACTGTAAGATATAATGACAAGGTATGAGTAAAACACCAACATTTGTACTGGATACTGTGTTTTTTATGCACAAAACATATTCGACCCAAAAGATTCGTCAACATGTTTTCATGCAATTATTACTTTTTAAATTTAAATTCATTAATGTATTTCTATTTTCTTTTATTGGCGCATACGTTGAGGAAGCACGTGATAAGCTGCATGTCCCCTGCCGTTTCTCATACTGTTTTCTTATTTAATTTTTACAACATGGATATGTGTAGCCACCGCTGCGCTGGACTATATAGCGTATTGAGCTGCAGAACTGTAGGAGGCTGTTATGTGACGTTACAGCTTTTTTTCCGCGCTTTCGTCTGCGCCGGTTTCAAAATATGTTTCAGAAATATTATTTTTCTGCTTGTCCGGCACTTTGCAACAACACAGAATTGTTGCACAAATCGGCAGCGACTTGCAGCATGTCTCCTCTAACAACCATTGACATTTACAGTTTATGTGGCGTGAGAGTCGCATACCACCCGAAATCCGATCGTTCAGAGTTCAGACTGAGGCATGTGTCCTGATATTTGAATAGGATTTCAAACCACATATGGATGTAACTTGAAACGGATTTCATGTGCTATTTAGACTGAGGATCTGAGCGTAGCCTATGTCGGGATAAGAAACAGAAGGAAGAATTGCAGTACGGGATAGAGAAGCTATCTCGTTCGGACCTTTACCACATATTAACTTTAGTTTGTCAAAATATTGCGCTCTCTCCTGCTTGATAAGTCCTTCTCTACATGATTTCGCACCTACCATAGTTTTTTTCTGTGTTGTTTTAGTGTAACAATGTGTTCAGTAGTACATAAACAGTGCAGTCCATGCTGTTATTTACATCCGAGTGTCTCCATAATGGCCGCTCATCCGGGTTACCGCTCAGAATGTGACGTCGGTGAAAACCCTCTGTAAACAGTGGCGGTGAGCGAACAGCTACATCCAAGGTGTGTGGAAACAAGATAAATGATGCAGATCATTTAATCACGTTGTGTCAAACTTCATCAGGCACCTCAAAACGCACCCAGATATTCACTTGCTAATGTGAAATAGACGTTAAATTTAGCATATATCGTCACAGGTACAGTAACAAGCAGGCAAAAACATTGTGGTTTTTCTCTCACTGGTCAATTTTGAGATTTTGATCTATTTGTCTTCAATAACAATTAAGTCTTCTTTCAGACTTGTGCGGTGAAAAAAAGTCTACATTTTATTTTACTACACTTTGTCTGTTTGCGTCTGTAGATTTCTCATAAATTCAACAAAAGTTGGCATTGTAAATCATCCTGCTGCTCCGCGATCGTGATCTGCACCGTCATCACATACTAAAGCGCTCTCTATCTCTCTCTCTCTCTCTCTCTCTCTCTCCAGCACAATGTTGTTGGATCCAAATATGGTAGCCTACTTTCCCAGGGTCTTCTTATATCAGTTTAAGTGGTAATTGTTTGATTAAACTTTTTCTCAGTTTTTATAGTTGTTAAATAGCAATACGTAAAGTATCAGTTCTCACAGGTTTGCACCAAACATGCGCTCTGAGGCGAATTTAGGGTTTTTTCGACATCAGTGTGGATGAGAAACTTTTGGAAAATGCTTGAAAACACTAGTGTGGATGGAGAACGTTTTGAACCAAAAACTCAATTTTCTAAATGATCCGGATTAATGTAGATGCTGCAAGAGATGACTGATATGACTGATGTTCATTCAGCTCTTAATATCATTGATAATGTCTGACCTCTGCTTTCTCTGCTGGACATGTTGATATTCTGATCTTCAGTCCATCATCTTCTCTGACTCCTGACGTCTGTCTCTTTATCATCCTGTGAGAGATTATATTTATTTCATTAACACACACTAATGAGATTATGTTACCACACCATTTATTGAAATATGAAAACACTTTAATATGCCGGGAGTTTGTTTTCTCCAAAACACACACATGACATAAATTGCTATTCTGACAAAAACTGAATGATTGTTTTTAGGTGTTTCTGTGTATATGAGCATCTTATTACACTGATTTGCTCAAAGATATAGCAATAAATTAATAACATATATAGTAACATGCAGCAATGCTATATTTTCTAAATGCCATAATCATTTGTTAACAAACAAGTATGCATTACTTCAATGAGCTCATTGTATCTGCATTAAATTATTACATTGTTTAAATTAATACATTTTTAGGTAAGCGCCATACAAATAAACGTGAATTAATTGCACATTTTGCACTTAAAATATACAGAATCTAGACGCACCATCTTAGATTGTGTTTTGGTTCCATATGAAAGTGAAACCAATCATTTCTGCAGTTCATACAGATACAATTAAACTCTTAATTAATCTAAAATCGTCATTTTGTGTTGTATATCATATTTACATATTATTTTACGCTCCACAAGAGTGTCTTTAAAGTAATAAGTATACCTGTATGTCGAGGTTTGTCATTTCCAGCAACAAAGCAGGAAGAAATCTGTGTGGGCGGGGTTAGTGACGTCACGGTCCTCCAAACGAATCCTAGCATGGCAAGCCATTTCAGCTTAAAATGTCCCCAGTGTTACTCGTCATGATTGTATTTTTGCTTTAAGAGCGAAACAATTTAATTCTTACTAATAACATTACAATCAGAGAGCTCTACCTATTATATTTTTACTAGATAGGCTATATGTAGCCTATCTATTGACTTCCATTCATTTTAATTACAGAGCTCAACAATTGAATTTTTACATGTAAAAAAAAAAAAGAAAAAAAGAAACTTGACTTGACTTTATTTTTTGGTTGATGTTAAAGTTAATGTTTGTTGTGTGTTGACACTGATTTAATAAACTACAGACTTGTAAACTCTGATATAACTCTTATAGCGCTAGCTTATCGTAAGCATTTTATATCCTAATGGCTGAACAGTATTGTGTCTGAAACTGCTGTCCTTGCGTTATTCAGCCTGAGGGTGGCGCTCGATTGATGATAGATAGACTTTATTACACATGACAAACACATCGAATGTCATTTTAGAAATTGCCTTAAAGGTTTAGTTCACCCAAAAATGAAAATTCTGTCAGTATTTAATACTCACCCTCATGTTGTTCCAACCCCGTAAGACCTTCGTTCATCTTCGGAACACAAATTAAGATATTTAAGATATTAAGATCGCTCCTGCATACAGTCCATAGGCTTCCCAGATAGCAGACTGACATTGAATCAACGTGGAAATATGACATCGAAACAACGTTGATCTGACATTGTTTTGCTCATCGAATTAACGTTGAACCAACGTCAGATGCGTCATTCTTTCAAAACTAACGGAAAATCAACTTGAAATCAACGCGTTGTTTCAACGTTATGAAAGCAAACCAATTTTCGATTTCATTTAGCTTTGAAGAATGCCGCGTCTGACGTTGGTTCAACGTTAATTCGATGAGCAAATCAACGTTGTTTCAATGTCATGAGAGACGTCGTTTCCACGTTGATTCAATGTCAGTTTGCTATCTGGGTTCTTGAGGGACTGGCTCTTGCTGTCCCCGAAAAGTCATTAAAGACATCGTTAAAATAGTCCAAGTGACTACAGGGGCTCAATCTTAAGTTTATCAAACGACGAGAGCACTTTTGTGCGCAAAAAAACAACAAAAATAACAACTTTATTTCAACTATTCACTTCCTTCTCCATGAGCCTGTAAGTCAGTTAACGTAGTGTGATTGCGTAGAGCTACGTCACACGTAGGCTCACTATTGGCCGACGCTGGTCATGTGTGTGTGATGCGTGTGACGTACAATAACAGAAGCTTACGCTATTAAACTAGTAACCTGACTCGAGCAGAGGGAGAAATAAACGAATAGTTGAAATAAAGTCGTTATTTTTGTTGTTTTTTTGCGCACAAAAGTGTTCTCGTCGTTTGATGAACTTAAGAGTGAGCCCCTGTAGTCGCTTGGACTATTTTAACGATGTCTTTAATGACTTTTCGAGGACAGCAAGAGCCAGTCCCTCAAGAAGCCTATGGACTGTATGCAGGAGCGATCTTAATATCTTAAATATCTTAATTTGTGTTCCGAAGATGAACGAAGGTCTGAACAACATGAGGGTGAGTAAATACTGACAGAATTTTCATTTTTGGGTGAACTAACCCTTTAATGTAGCCTAGTATTTATTGCCTATTTAATATGAGTTTAGTATCATAATACATGTCTGCTGAATCAGTGGGCTAAATGTAAATAGGCCTGTATCCCTGCTCACTTTACTGTAGCACTAAGAATATAAAATGGGACAGATATAAATGCACCCCCCTTTAAATTTCAAACTGTTCATATTATTGTTAGTTACTTGTATGACTATTTCATTGTGTTCAATTTGGTGAGACTCGGAGTCGCCAGCAGGGGGCACCCGGGAGTTGCGCGGCGCATGAGTGGCTGACTAGTTAGCAGCGTAGAAGTAGTCCAGCACGAGATGAAGCGCGAATGTCCAGAGAAATGTGCTCCTTTGAACATTGTATTTTCTTGTGTTTCATACAGGTAAGCTGACAATAACCTTACACTGGTATATGTATAACAGTATTATATTCTTATAGAGCCATAGTTTGTGCCTGAAACGTTAAGAAAAGTGAAGTTTTAACGGTGATTAAGAGGTATGTCGTGAAATGGCGGACGGGAGTGTTAACTATTCAATTAGTAGAAAACTAGTAACTCTTAACGTGAGCAAAACGGAATAATAAAGGTTTAAAAAGATATATACTCGACGTGAGTGTGGGATGAGGCATAATTAACCGAATATATGTGTATGGACATTGATTAAAATGCGTAGAGACAAGTCTGGGCAATTGGAGTTAACGAGGCACACGTGACTGTTCTTAGCCCTCGTATATACACGTGACCCTTATTTAGCATTGCTTTGTCAGCCATTACATGTAAAAATAAAGGACGTTAATACTGTTAAATTAAGAACCACAGTCAGATTGAGAGGTAAAACAGTTTATTAATAATTTTGTGAGTTCATAGTGATAAAACAGTAACTGTTAAATGGTTAAAACTTAGTTCATAATGTAGTCAGGTCATTAGCATATTTCATGGAAGAGAAAAAAAGATTAAAGACAAGTTAAACAGTGATATGAAAGAGTATTAGGAATACACGTGCAGTTATCAATGTTAAAAGTAATGTGGGTATAGACTGAACTATTGCTGATACCTGAAAATCTATTTTAATTCCAAATACTATTCACATGCTTACTTGTTTGAGTTTAAATATATGACTCATAGAGTTTATTGTACTTTAATTATGTTATTTTTCAGACCTTTTCCTTTTATATCAGTTTAATAACGGGCATAGCACATGTTTAGATCCATGTTAATGTATTTGTGTAAAGAACATGTATTTCCTGATAATGGAATATTATATAAAGAGTCTAGATAGTGTGACGTATCAGCTTAGACATAAGACATTTAAGATAATTTGTGAATGTATCACAGGAAAAGAGTGTAGAAGTAGTCCAGCACGAGATAAAGCGCGAATGTGCAGAGAAATGTGCTCCTTGTTTGAACATTGTATTTTCTTGTGTTTCATACAGAAAAATAAATGTGTTGCACCCGGAAGTGACATTGCTTCATTCCAAAAAGTGTAACATTACCACTCAAGGAGAAACATAATCAAGTGATAAATGATTATAAATGTATAAAAGAAAATAAACCACAACACGCATGCATGGTTCAAATCTTTTTTTTTTTTTTTTTTGGTAAAACAAACTTAAACTTATGTGTTTTGGACAAATCGAAGTAATGTTTCATGGTTTCATGATAGATTAAGTAAAGATCAGGTTATGTTTTAACTCTCGGCTTCTCTCAGATCATAAGGACGTGAATGTTAAAAGGAAATGTAAAAGATCGTCGCTCTTTCTGCTGACCTCCACATATTTAACAGTGTTTGTCCTAAACATGTTAACTCTGTAATCCTGCTTGCTGTACAGGACTTTTATCTGTTTTCATTTAGATCACAATAACTGGATCAGTGAATGTTTCTGTTCAATTCTGATCTTTGTTTTTATCTTTGATGTATTATTTTTTTTTATTTAAAAAAACCTAGTGTCTCTTTACTTCTAGTCCCACAACATTAGTTTGTCTTTGTCTTCTATAAGTCGAGAAGTAGCTGGAAGAGGAAGCCGTGAAAAAGCAGAAAGCAGGAGACGAAATGAGAGTAAAAACGTTCAGTTTATTGAGAAATCTTCGGTTTCAATGCGCAATTCGTTTAATCTGAACAACACAAATTCATTAAGTGTCAATCAAACCGATCACAACATCATCACATTAAACCTTGAAACAGATTATTGATAAGATAAGATCTTATCTTTAACACATGCAGACAAGTATTACATGAACCCATACTACCATATATAGCCTCCATATATATATATGAAGAGTTCAGATGCAAAAGCCTCTAGTTTCTTCTAAAATGACCATTTTTATCAAGCTTGTATATTTAAGTTCAGTAATTTCACTTAAATGACAATTAAAGCTACAATACCCAAGATTTAGATGCCGCTAGAGGGCGCTACATTCAAAACGACAACAACGGCTTTGCTTGATGACGACGTGGAGAAACGCGGAATGATGGGAAGTGTTGTTTTCAACTCCACCGTGGATAAATCAGTCAGACAGGAATCGAAAATTAGTTGTCATGGATGAGGTAAAGTTAGATTTCTATAAACGTTGCGTTTACATGCTTGTTTTTCCTTAAACTGAAGTAACCGCAAGAGAAGTCAGGTTTAAGTAAATTAGTTATCACAGATGTTA